AAAAAAAATTGAACTCAGCTACGACACCGTACACAAATGTGAAGCAACATTCGAAGGTGATGTTCTAATCACATGAATATTTGATTTATAACCTTACAAGCATTAAGATGTAGAGTTCTAATCTTACAAAACATTAGATTGTAGTACCTTGATGTTATAAAAAACACAAGAATAGTGATATACATGACACAGATGAAATATAAGAATATACTTATCCCTTTAGCAAACACATTCAAGAAAATCAAAATTGCAAGTAGCACACATGTGAGCACAAAATGATACATGAGTCGCTAAAAGAAAAACGTGACTAAGTGAAGGTAATAAAGGGATGGGAAACTTCACTTCATAAACTGACTAAATAAGGGCCTACATGAAGCTGTGGATACGAAATGACAACTCCTTGGTGCCTTTTTAGAACCATTATCTTTTTCTCTACAAAGAAAAAACTAACTAAACAGATAAACTTTTGAGGAAAAAGGGCGTAGATAATGGGCTGGCATTGGATCTTAGCATTTTTTTGCAAATGGTGGTTTGAATAAATACTTATGTTTAATTTTATATGGAAAGGCAATAGAAGGCTCTCAGGTCATATACAAAAACAAAATATGGATTTAGTAAAAACAGTTCAGTTTAGATGCAATGATAAAAGTTTTACAGAACCTGAGTGGAGAAAATTACTTATGAAAATACAAATGAAGTTTCTACCGAAAAAAAAAAGAAAGAAAAAAAAGGAACTAAACCTAAATCTATGAATTAATATAATGATCATCAACTTTCAGTAAGTTGCTCATATCAGAATGCAATACCAAGCATCTTCAATAGAACTCAATAAAAAAAACACACTTAGCATTAACTAAAGTCTGTACTTACTAAAGGATTCTTGTTTTAATTGCCTTCACTCACAGCTCGAAGCTCTATATATTTCAAGCTCTTCACGGAGGATAGATTTAGCCACAACTATCGTGTTTTTTAAGCTACATCCTGCGCTATCTTTTGGAAGCAACAATGTAGTAACACATCAGTCAGGTAAACGGCAAAACAAACTTCTTAACTCACTACTAAGTAATAACTAAAATTTCAAACCAAGCCATCCTGCTCTCTCCAAACCCTAAATCTTTTTCCCCCTCAAGTTCTTTTCCACTTTGCATCAAGACCCTAAATTTTTGTATTTGATCCAACATATGATTCTATTCCTTATACCTATCCACTGCTAAACAGAACCGGGGTCGTACAATTTAAAGCGGAGGAAACGACCAAAAACTTTTCTGCAGAGTCAAAGTCAAGATATTGCTAAGATACAATATAAATATGAAATTAGCACGATGCGCCCTTTGCTACTGACTTGAATTTACTACTAGCTTTAACTTTTGAGACTATTGGCTACAAATAATCATTTAACAGAGAGAAAAAAAATCCAAGATATTGAGGTTAACTTGCAATTCATCATCATACCTCACCAATTTAGATTAATAAGAATGCTCTAAATTCAAAATCATAAAGCATGGATACTGAAAAGCGAATGTAAAGTTTACCTGTAGGTCCAGAGTGTTATAAGCATTGCTGACATCATCTTGTGCCCAGGGCAAGTCTGGTGCATACCTCCATTGTCCATCAACAATAAACCTGTATTGATAAACACCTGACGGCAGAACTTTCATGATAGTGAAGTCTTTCCCAGATCTCTGCAAGGGAATTCTGATTAACATGCCATATGAGTAAAGTGTGAGGTACATACATGATTCTAAAAAAAGGATGTATTGAATCAGAAGAATGAATATAAAGCCGTTAATTCTTAGAACCTTGTCTTCCAGTTATCCCATGATCCCTCAACAGAAACTTCCTTGCCACCGTAGCTCCAAGTGATCATTGTCGGAATTCCTTGCTCGTTATTGTACATATCCTCGTATCCTGAAGTGGTTTGCATCCATGAAGGGTTTGGGCTGGAAATTTCATCAGGTCTTTGCAGTGGAACCACTGGAACCTGGGAGAGTAAGAATACATAAAGAAAACAAAAATAGGATGGACAAAGAACAAGTATACAGAGATTCACATGACAGTAGCTAATTCATTTGCCAGATACAAATTCAGATTAGTAAGATTTCATCCATCATGCAAAGTCAAGACAGATGTTTTTGCAATTATTTTTTTCCGACTAACAATAATATCAAAACTGGATAGCGAACATGTTTTATCAAATAACTTTTTCATGTGGATTAAGCATTTAACTCAATGTAACAAGCACGGATCCTGAAGAACTGCAAGCTTATGGTTTTCACAGATTCTTTTCGAAAAAACAAATTATAGCTCTTCAAACTATGTGAAATCCATTAAAAGACCAAACTTTTATAAAAAAGGGTAAACTATATTATCCAAGAAGCTTCCAGCCAAGCCAAAAATCCATTTCCATCTTTTGGTTTCCACGAGATCCATCTTAAGTGATTCATTGACAGGTAACCCGGAATTTAAATTCATAGATAGAAACCGTTTTCTTTAGCAGAAGAAAAAAAAGATCCTATAAACGAGAAAAACAGCACAAAACAAAAATTAATTTGTGGGGCAGAAAGAGTGAATGACCAACCTGAGGAGTGAACATCAAAGGAGACCGGGTGGCTCGAGGGCTGTGAGGAGGGGACTGACCCATGAGCTCAGGCGCCACATGAGTCCCATGAGGTGCACCCGTGGCTTCTTGCACGCCGTTGCCTCCTTCCTCGTCAACCACAGAAGGGCTACTGCTCTCATCTTCTCTTCCATTCACGTTCCCCATTACATAAATAAACAATTATATCGTGTATAAAATTTTAGAATAATAACCAAAAAAGCCCAAAAGGTGAAATTCCCACTTAGAGAATCTCACAAACGGTTCATGATTCCCTCAATACGAATCAAACCCACCTCTGTAAATCAATTAGTCTGAGGAAAACTCAAGAGAAACCCATCGAAAAAGAAGAACCCAAGTAGGAGAATCAGGGGAAAGATCGAGAGAATTGAAGAAGGAAACTTAGGAATGAAACTGAGGAGAGCTAGATAAGAGAAAAAGTGAGAAGCTTTCTTCTTTCTTATGAAAGAACCTAAAAAAAAGGAAAGAGGGAAAAGGGAAAGAGCTGAAAAAATATTCTCCGACGAGTTTGGAAGATCGAATGGTGGCCCAATAAAGGAGATGATGGGTTTTGGGTGGTGGTGGTCACGTCATCATTTGACGAAGTCTTTTCCTTCCATCTTTCTTTCTTTTCTCCTGCTTAGTTTTCTCTCTCCACAAAAGAAAAAACTGCCATTTTTCTCGTCTAAAAATCTAAACCTTATCAGTTCAATATAATTTTTGAAGCCCTTCTTTTTTTCTTTCTCTGCCTCCGTCACTCGGCTATGGCCATTGATGGTACATCATCATTGTTCTTTGTTGCTACCCTCCTCCATTTTTCCTTATGTTATCACCATTTTCAGCATATTGTATTTTTCTTTTTGTTTTTACTCACAGAAAGTAGAAAGGGAGAACAATCAATGTTTTCTTTTTTTTTACTTTTTAACTAATTTACCATCACTAAATTATTTTGGTAGTTTCATGGAAATTTCAATCCAACATAAGAAATAGGAAACAAAAAAAAAAAAAGTTGTGAACTTTGAGCAGGACACTTGCTTCCAAATCTGTTTATATTAATAATTTTATAGACCATAGAAATGTGATTACATAAAAATATAGTATAAATTATTATTCTTTTTACTCTTTAGGGTAATTTTACCATATGGAGAACAAGAGGACAAAGCTTATTGCAATCAAAGGTCCATGTAACTCATTGATGTGGAATCCAGATCTACTTCATGAGGGGGGCAAAGGTTAGAACTCCTAGGTTACTATGATTTGGTCTTGCTTAGTTGTAATTTAACTTTTTCTTCCTCACATTAAATTTAAATATAGAAAAAATTATCAATCTTTTCAATTTTTTTTTATATTATAATATTAAACAGTTATATATATATATATGTAGTATATCTTAACTTTCAAAAATATAAAAACTGAGTCTGTAAAAATTAAAAACAGATGAATTAACACTTTTAGTTTTATTTAGTTAGGTCATAACATGAAATATTGGAATGAGATTAAAACGATCATTAATTACTTGACGGATACGTAATTATCTTATATACGGACGATACCCTTTGATACTATTATCCATGATAATATTTCTTTTTAAAAATATTAATATACCTTATAAATGTTATATTGCACATAATGTTACAAATTACTATTCTTTATATGGTATTTGTTATTTCGCTATTTTTTAAGAAATAGTGGGTTAGATGAGATTATGTTTCTTTTATGTTCTCGTTATTATAAAATTGTGTTATGATAAATATGTATTAAATAATTAATTAAATATGTACTTGCACTAAAAAAATTACACATAATATTTAAATAAATTAATTATACTAATTAAATGAAAAATAAATAACATAAAATCACATTTGTTGCCCTAAAAGCCTAAACGATAGTGGGTGGGCTAGGGCTTTCATCACTAAATTGGGTCCACACACAGGCTCTAACCTCAGACCAGCAACCGCAGTCCGTATACAAAGACCGACAAGCCACGCGTGACTCAGCTTTCCAAGTGACCGCCCACCTCGCCTCGCTGCACCTGCTCCACTCACCCCTGTTTCTTTGTTTTCTCTGCGGCATTTAATCAAACACGTAAGACTCACTCTAAACTATCTCTGATTCTACGCTTTAAATACACAGTTCAGTCTCGTGGGTCGACACTTCTCTTCCCTATGTCTATTATTGCTCTACTGATTGTACTTTCTGCTTTTATAGTTTATTACTTTCGTTGTCATTTGTACTGGGGTCACTAGTTTTATATTTAGTGACCCACTGTTCCGGAACCAGGTTTTGATTGGAAGTAGGCGGTGTTTTGATTTATGAAGAGTTGGGCTTTGTCTTTACGCTTTTAAAGTTGATTACTTTCGTTATCATTTGCACTGGGTTCTCTAGTTTTATATTCATCAGCTTAGTGACCCACTGTTTGTTAACCAGGTTTTGGTTGGAAGTAGGCGGTGCTTTGATTTATGAAGAGTTGGGTTTTCGTCTTTACATGGGTTAATTTAGTTTTTTAATCTTCTTGGTATCTGGGTGTGGAATACTGTGGGCGTTTTTGGAGGCAAAGTGATGTCATTCATTTGTGTATAATAAATACCAGAGTATTTGAATGATGAGGATTATCAGAAAACAAGGGAGTTTTAGGATGGATTGTTTCGTAAATTCATGGTCTTATGCTTCATTGATGAACCATCAAAAACAGTCTTGTAATTGCATGTTGAGTTTGTGAAAAGATTTGTTGTCAATCAATCAGATTGATTAACAACAAATGAGATGACACCAGTGAGAT